GTATTAAATCTTTATTTTAACTAACAGGTTCGGCGAGATCATTTTGTTCTGGAGCCTAAGTTGTTGGGTACTGTACCGTGTGTGGTGGTGTGTGGTTTAGTGGAAGTCATGTTTTTGACCTGACCTCCTGTTTGGTAAGGTCCCCCTGCTACATAAGCCTCTCTCAGTCCTTGTAATTCAGTTTCCTCTGAAGTTGTCTTGAATAAAGACGAAAGCTAAGGTGCTCCATTGTTTCCCTCTTTCCTGTGTGATATTATCAATATATATATATATATATATATATATATATATATATATATATATATATATATATATATATATATATATATATATATATATATATACAATATAGAGAGAGCGTGGTGACGTTATTGTATCGACTCACAATATCAAGACAAAGACACGAAACACGTCTCAAAGTTTCGACTCGTGGGTATTGACGAGTTCAGGACAAGATAAACAACTTTGTCCGGTGGACCAACGAGCCTCGTGCCCAATCGTCCGCTCGTTATCGTTTACCTCAGATGGAGTCGAGGATAAGGCGCCGTGTCACTCGTATTTTAACCTCGACTCTTGATTACCTGAAGCGACGCGAGACAACCTGCAGGCTTCGGGTATCAGGACTTCATTAGAATCTCTTGATTGGTTTTGTAAGAAAGTGATCCTTGTGAGTGACGTTTATGGTGGCCGGCCATCTTTACGGCAGGCATTAGACCGGGAGGCAGTAGCAGCCCCTCAGCGATTGTCTCTTATTCTGTGTATCCTCTGTAGCTCAGGGGAATATGGTCGTCTTTATTCAGCCATTTAGTGGGATAGCTGGCGGTCGACAAGCTGCCACGGAGGTGATGGGCGAGATTGTCTAATGAGCAATAATAGAACCTGAGCCACTCGTCCAAACTGGTGCTAATTGCAGAGAGGCCCGGCGTCTGTCTGCCCCCGTGTTAACTCTCCACCTCACCCTCGCTCTGTTTACCTCCTCCCGACGATAACTCGCTGGGCTGGCACTAAGGGCTCTCTTCTCACGTCAGGTTAGGAGTGCGTTGCCGCGTCGGAAGTAGGAGTGTGTTCCGCCGCGTCAGGTGAGGTGTGTTGCCGCGTCAGGTAGGAGTGTGTTGCCGCCTCAGGTAGGAGCGTGTTGCCGCGTCAGGTAGGGTGTGTTGCCGCGTCAGGTAGGGTGTTGCCGCGTCAGGTAGGAGTGTGTTGCCGCGTCAGGTTGGAGTGTGTTGCCGCGTCAGGTAGGAGTGTGTTGCCGCGTCAGCTACTGTTTGGTCCTCTTCAACCCAGTGTTCGTGTTACCTGTACCCAACCTGTCCTGATGATCTCACCTGTTGGCAATATTGACAGTTGTTTGGTGTAGATGTTTATCATTAGAGCATGTAGTGATAGTTTAAAGTTTAGGTTAGGTTGGTGAGATGATTAGGTTAGGTAATGGAAGTATTTTATCTGCGTCACACTCCTCCTCCTCCTCCCCCCCCCCTCCTCTTCCTCTTCTCCCCCCCTCCTCCTCCTCTCATCCTCCCCTTCCATAACCTCAGCGTATAAATCCCTCTCCGCTTGTAATGTTTTCCTCAGCTCTGACAATAAGTAACTTAGTTTAGTTGGAGTTCGCCGCTGAGCTCACCATCGTTGACCACCTAAGCTGATCCCGGGCTGGATTATCCGGTATCTCGCCTCTACGACCACCAACTGTGTGTGTGTGTGATAAGGTCAAGGTCATTGTGGTTAATCAAGCGGTCAAGGTCATTAGGCTCTGTCCTCGGCTTACAGAGGGCCTGCCTGACTTAACCTCTCTGATAGTGTTTTCCTCGCGTGGGGGGGATGTTTAGCTGTTAATTGTTAGTAAATGTCCTCCATAAGGCAACAACAACAGTGGTAGGAAACATCAGCACAAGCACACACACCACACTGTTTGGTCTGGGTGTGGCTGATTTAGTGTGTGGCTGTAGAAGTGGAGGTTCTCGTAACACTTGTAGTGGTGGTTGTGATTGTGGTGGTTTAGTGTAAGTAGTGGTGGTGATTGTGGTAGTTTTGATTGTTATGTTTTATTGTAAGTAGTGGTGGTGGTAGTGGTGATTGTTATGTTGTAGTGTAAGTAATGGTGGTGGTGGTTGTGATTGTGGTAGTGGTGATTGTTATGTTCTAGTGTAAGTAGTGGTGGTGGTCGTGAATGTGGTGGTTTTATTGTTTATTGTTTCAGTATAAGTAGTGAGAATGGTTGTGATTGTGGTGATTATTATGTTCTAGTGGTGGTTGTGGTAGGAGTGGCAGTAGATAATGGTGATGGTGGTGATGGTATTATAGTATGGTTAAGTAGTCAGCAATATGGTGTAAGAATAGTTAGTACAGTGTTAATGGTGATGGTGGTGATGGTATTATAGTGTGGGTAAGTAGTCAGCAATATGGTGTAGAGAGAATAGTTAGTACAGTGTTAATGGTGATGGTGGTGATGGTATTATAGTATGGTTAAGTAGTCAGCAATATGGTGTAAGGAATAGTTAGTATAGTGTTAATGGTGATGGTGTATTAACTGTTGAGTGTATAAAGGACATACACTTCACCCATGTATACTACACACACACATACACCTATGTATATTGCCCTTTACACACCTATATGTATACATCACTTTACATACATACACGTACACAGTCACATGTTATGAACACATGTATGTAGTAATAGTCCGTTCATACCGTTTATTAGAATATATTAACTCTCTCTCTCTCTCTCTCTCTCTCTCTCTCTCTCTCTGACGATGATAAACAGTATATGTTATTGGCTTCCCCTGTAGGCCCACCTCCACGCCTCGACAGTACACTGATCTGGTTGACGGTAACACTTATCTGGTGATAGTTACCTAGCCTGGTTACAGTCTGCTGGGTCATGGTACAGTCTGCTGGGTCATGGTACAGTCTGTTGGGTCATGGTACAGTCTGTTGGGTCATGGTACAGTCTGCTGGGTTATGGTACAGTCTGTTGGGTCATGGTACAGTCTGCTGGGTTATGGTACAGTCTGCTGGGTCATGGTACAGTCTGCTGGGTCATGGTATAGTCAACTTGGGTCATGGTACAGTCTGCTGGGTCATGGTACAGTGCTGGGTGTGGTACAGTCTGTTGGGTCATGGTACAGTCTGTTGGGTCATGGTACAGTCTGCTGGGTTATGGTACAGTCTGCTGGGTTATGGTACAGTCTGTTGGGTCATGGTACAGTCTGTTGGGTCATGGTACAGTCTGTTGGGTCATGGTACAGTCTGTTGGGTCATGGTACAGTCGCCTAGACAATGTTACAGTCAGTCAGGCAGCTGGTAGGGTATGATCAGTAGAGCCAGGTGGTTGGGGGTACAGTTGAGCCAGGTGGTTGGGGGTACAGTCAGTGAGCCAGGTGGTTGGGGTACAGTTAGTGAGCCAGGTGGTTGGTGGGTGTGCAGTCAGTGAGCCACGTGGTTGGGGGTACAGTTAGTAAGCCAGGTGGTTTGGGGTACAGTTAGTGAGCCACGTAGTTGGGGTACAGTTAGTGAGCCACGTAGTTGGGGGTACAGTTAGTGAGCCAGTGGTTGGGGGTACAGTTAGTGAGCCAGGTGTTTGGGGGTACAGTTTAATTGAGCCACGTAGTTGGGGGTACAGTTAGTGAGCCAGGTGGTTGGGGGTACAGTTAGTGAGCCACGTGGTTGGGAGTACAGTTAGTGAGCCAGGTGGTTGAGGGGTACAGTTAGTGAGCCACGTGGTTGGGGTACAGTTAGTGAGCCAGGTGGTTGGGGTACAGTTAGTGAGCCTTTTTTACGTGGAATAGCTTACCTGGGCACAGGTCACTGACCCATCAGGGCCTTGGGGGCGAAACTGTAATAATAATAATGATAATAATAATAATAATAATAATAATAATAATAATAATAATAATAATAATAAGAACCATAAAGAAATAAAATAAATAAATAAATCAGAAGTGAGAAGCAATATATGTATGTTGTGTTGTCAATAGTAAGAGAAACAATTGAGACCCTGCAATTATGTGTAAATGAGGCAGAAAGTCAGATCATCAACCTGGGACTTGGTACATATGGCAGCAGGGTCTACCATTAGAACAACATTATGCTGCCAATATCTTCCCAGGCGGTAGTACCTCCTGTTTGGTAGCTGCCTACTACCTACAGTTAGTGAGCCAGGTGGTTGGATTGCAGTCAGTGAGCCACGTGGTTGGGGGTACAGTCAGTGAGCCAGGTGGTGGGGTACAGTTAGTGAGCCAGGTGGTTGGTGTACAGTCAGTGAGCCAGGTGGTTGGGGTGCAGTCAAGGCCAGGTGGTTGGAGTACCGTCAGTATGCCAGTTAGTGGGGGTACAGTCAGTAGCCAGGTGGTAGGGTACAGTCAGTGAGCCAGGTGGTAGGGTACAGTCAGTGAGCCAGGTGGTAGGGTACAGTCAGTGAGCCAGGTGGGTTGTACAGTCAGTGAGTCAGGTGGTTGGGGGTGCAGTCAGTGAGCCAGGTGGTTGGAGTACCGTCAGTATGCCAGTTAGTGGGGGTACAGTCAGTGAGCCAGGTGGGGGGGAGGTACAGTCACAGGTGTTCAGTACAGTCTGGGCGTCACAATCTCTGGCAGTAACCTGAGCCGGACACGAGTCAACAACAAGTTATGAATTATCGTAAGTTTTTGTTTACTCTTTTCGAATCTATATATAACCCTTGGGAATTATCAGCCTCTTGGGAATTAGAGCCTTGAGACGCGACAAGAACCACTTTATCTAAATTATTGTGTTGGAAGCAGAGGACAGGTCGCGGGCGTGCGTGTGTCTGGCAGCAACACCAACAATTAGTGTATTACCTGCCTCACCGCCACCACGCCATTATGAGTGCTGTTGTGATGGTATCGCTCGCCTTACTTACGGGTCACCTTCTGGGGATAACAGGATAGATAAGCCTTCAGGGATGACTGCCCCCCTGCCTCCTCCTCCTCCTCCTTCTTCTCCTCTGGTTGATTCTGATGGTGGTGGTGTTGGGGCAGCTACTGTTGGTGGAGATGGTGGTGTTCTTGTTGGTGGGACGGGTATTGCTGGTGGTGTTATTGATGCTACAACTGTCTTCTACTTGTTGCTGTTGCGTTTCCTGTTGCTGTTGCGTCTCCTCCTGTTGCTGTTGCGTCTCCTCCTGTTGCTGTTGCGTCTCCTTCTGTTGCTGCTGTTTCTCCTGCTGCTGCTGCATCTCCTGTTGCTGTATGTCTCCTGTTGCTGCTGCATCTCCTGTTGCTGCTGCATCTCCTTTTGCTACTGCATCTCTGTTGCTGTTGCATCTCCTGTTGCTGTTGCATCTCCCTCCTGTTACTGTTTGATCTCCTCCTGTTGCTGTTGCGTCTCCTTCTGTGCTGTTTCTCCTGTTGCTGCTGCGTCTCCTGTTGCTGCTGCGTCTCCTGTTGCTGTTGCGTCTCCTGTTGCTGTTGCGTCTCCCTATTGCTGTTGCGTCTCCTGTGCTTGCGTCTCCTGTTGCTGCTGCGTCTCCTGCTGCTACTGCGTCTCCTGTTGCTGCTGCGTCTCCTGTTGCTACTGCTGCTGTTCTCTGGTGGTCGTGTTTGTGTCTTCAGCCCTCAAGCCCACAGAACATTACCTGGGAGTCTGGGCCACACCGTGTGGTACAGTGGACTGTGTTAGCTGTCTGCTTGCACTCAACAAGCCATACGGAACAGATAATTATATGCAAAACAAAAGTTAAAATGCAGGATTATATGATAGTGCGTCCATATATGTCGCACGGGTCCGTTACAGCAAGACCCATCGCTATCTTGACCTGTGTTAGGTTGGCAGGAGGGGAGTTGTACCAAAATCAACTTGGCTAATTATCTTGACAGTAAATAACATTTGTGACGGGGGCGGGTGAATGTATGACACGGGTAGGAAGCAAACCTATGTTTTTCTACTCGAGAATTCACAACCCATGACTTTTGCAACTGAGTATTTGAAGCCCAGGAGTCGAGTTTCAGTGTTCATAATGAGGCTTCGGGTCAAAGTATTCGAGTCCGAGGATTAGAGGTTTAGATTTTGAACTCAGTAATCGAGGCCAAAAGGTTCGATTAAAAAGGATTCATTTGATTATTATTCGGTTCTTAATGTTCGAAAAATATGATAAAACGAATTTGACAGAAAGGCTTCATTTTGGATTCAAAGCCCTCCTCCTCTCTTCCCCTTCCTCCCTCTTTTATCCCCCCCTCCTCCTCTCCTTTCCTCCCCTCCGCTTCTTCCCCTCCTCCCTCTTTCTTCCCCTTCCTCTCTCTTTCTTTCCCTTCTTCCCTCTTTTATTCCCCCTTCATTTAATGGTATTTAGGTCTCGCCTCGACACCTCCCTGACCATCGTATATTACAAGTGTTTGACCAATGACCAGAAGATACTCCTACTCCTGCAGCTTAACCTCATAAGCTTGGTAATTATAGTGTGGAGTGTGGGGACGTGAGCTCTCCGTCAACACTTCAGGTCTGATTTCACCTCCGGGAATCACACAAACTGAAGCTCTGTAAAGACCAGCTGAGTGGCTCTTAAGGGGTTAGGTTAGGTAAAGGTTTGGTTTCGTTTGGTTAGATTAGGTTAGGTTAAATTGGGTTAAGTTAGGTAAGGTTAAGTGAATGATTCTTAAGAGTTTAGATTAAGTGTTTTCTTCCTTATCTGACCACTTTCTCCACTTGGTCGACATGAAGGCATAGACTCGGCCACTTAAGTGTATGTAATAGTAACACTGATATTATTTTACTCTTTACAATTTCCATTCAGTGTTAACAGATATATTATTAGAACAGGGATCGAGAGGGTCAATCAATGTGTGTTATGACGATACTTGGTTGTGTTGGGGTGAAGGAAGGGGTGTTGGTGGTGGTGGTGGTGGTGAAGGTGGTGGCGATGGTGTTGATGATGGTGGTGTCGCTTGTGGTAGTTGTTGGTGGTGATGATAGTGGCGCTTGTATTAGTATAGTTAGTGATAATGATGGTGGTGGTTGAAGTTGAGGCTTAATTATCACCTGAACAGGGAAGGGCAAGAGAGAGAGAGAGAGAGAGGGCACAGGGCGTTAGAGGTTATGGCTATCCTTTAGGGCAATGGAGATTTATTAGATCCTTAGGTTGTTATCAGGGAGGTGGACTGCTGGAGCCAGGTTGTGCCCACCGCCTTACAGAGCCTCGCTTGTACAGTGTTGCAACTCCCAGGGATATATCACCCCGTGTAACCTTATCTCCCGGGGTCGCTGGGTCGTAGGGGGTCTCCGGATTATTAACGCTCAAAGCTGATTTTGTTTTTGCTCTCCTCTTGTGACACTGAGGTGGACGGGGTGGGGGTAGAGAGGGGGGGTATTTTGGGAGGGGTAGAAGGAGAGGCAGATAGGTAGGGGGTTGGGAGAGGATGGGGGTGGAATGACCGTAGGGGAGCATAGGGATAGGTGGTGGGAAGGTCCAGAGAAGGGGGATAGGAGATGGGTTGAACTGGAGGGGGGGAGGGGGTCATTAGTAAGAGTATCTATAGTTACAGAGTTATGTGATTTTATTTGTTGACTTCACCACACGAGAGGTTAAAGCAGTGTGTGTGTGTGTGTGTGTGTGTGTGTGTGTGTGTGTGTGTGTGTGTGTGTGTGTGTGTGTGTGTGTGTGTGTGTGTCAGTATTCTTCTAAGATGAAATCAAACAAAACCTTGAACTATTATTTATCTTATCATTTGTTAATTTATTTTTATTAATTTGTTTTTGTACCGTAATCTAACTTTATGTAGCTGTCACATCAACTCAACGAAAGATAATGTTACATATTGTTAGTTTATTGTTAATTTGGATATGTAGCGTAAAAATGAATTCTTTTTAACCTCGGAACACTGTTAATATTTTTATCCTATACTTTAAAATATTCACAAAGTAATATTTTTTTTAACTTAAGACAACATTAACATAGAGCTGGTCTTAATGCCTCTAAATTATGTAAATTTATCTAACTCATGAATAATTGTTTATAAGTTAACAAACAATTTAGTCTTCGAGAACATAAAGAAAAGGAATTATTTCTCTTGTTTATTTGTTTGTGTCGTCGTGTTTACCTTTCGTCTCACCTGTAAAAAAGGTTAATGAGAGTTGCTGAGGTGTAAAGTATTGATAATAGTGAGGTGTTGAGGCGGGGCTTAGGGGTGATATCAGAGTAACCCCTTGAGTACGATGATTTAACCCCTTGAGTACGATGATTTAACCCCTTGAGTACGATGATTTAACCCCTTGAGTACGTTGATTTAACCCCTTGAGTACGTTGATTTAACCCCTTGAGTACGTTGATTTAACCCCTTGAGTACGATGATTTAACCCCTTGAGTACGATGATTAAACTTCTTGAGTACGATGATTTAACCTCTTGAGTACGATTATTTAACCCCTTGAGTACGTTGATTTAACCCCTTGAGTACGATGATTTAACCTCTTGAGTACGTTGATTTAACCCCTTGAGTACGATGATTTAACCCCTTGAGTACGATGATTTAACCCCTTGAGTACGATGATGTAACTTCTTGAGTACGATATTCAACTAATAGTGGGTATGATGATTTGCTTCTTGGTACGATGATTTAACCCCTTGAGTACGATGATTTAACCCCTTAGAGTACGATGTTGTAACTTCTTGAGTACGTGGTTAACTAATTGAGTATGATGATTTCGCTTCTTGAGTGCGTGGTTAACCCTTGAGTACGATGATTTAACTTCTTGAAGTACGATGATTTAACTAATTGAGTATGATGATTTAACTTCTTGAGTACGATGATGTAACTTCTTGAGTACGATGATTTAACTAATTGGAGTATATCGGTGCGGGCTCTTATGGGCTGAATTTTGTTGTAGTGGCGGACTGCGCGAGTTGGGTGGGGGGCTGCAGGTGGCAGGAGGTGGCGATGACGAGGGTGGTGCAGTAGTCCACTGCCAAACCTTTCCAGTGCTTGGTGGTGGAGGTCACTGAGGGATGGCATTTCCAGGGTGGAGAGAGCGTTGGTGTAGCCGGAGTATTCTGCGCCGAGCATGATTCTGCAGGCCCTTTTCTGTACCTTCTCTAGCTGACGTTGTTGGGTGGAGTTGAGAGAAGACGACCAGGCTGGTGACGCATACGTTAGTTTGGGGAGAATAAAGGCGTTGTAGATGGTCCTCAGCTCTGGCGTGGGTGTCCCAAGTGACCTAAGTCTTCGTAGCATGTAGAGACGGTACGAGGCTGCCTTGACTGTGTTATTTACATGGGCCTTCCAGTCAAGTTTGTTGTCTATAGTTACACCCAGGAGTTTGGCAGACTGCACCAGCTGGAGAGGATGGGCACCCACTGTGACTGCTGGGGCTTGCACTGGAGTGGTGGCGGTATTGATGTGCATGACTACGGTTTTGGTGTGGTTGATGGTGACCTTGTTCTCCGTAGTCCATGCCTGTAGCCTGTCCAGGGTGCCTTGGAGCGATGAGTAGTCTGGTGCGGTGTTGTCCACTGAAACCCCCACAGTGCAGTCATCCACGTACTTCCACCTGTGAGGAGTGTCCGATAGAGCGTCGTTGATCAGGATGAGGAAGCACAGTGGTCCCATCTTGGTCCCCTGGGGAACACCGCAGGTGAGGTGTTGGAATGTAGAGACCAAGCCCTGATACCTCACTGCTTGGCGACGTCCACTCAAGAAATCAGTGAGCCATGAGACCAGGTTGGTGGGCAGCCCTAGTGCCTTTATTGTTGATAACAGTACGTGTGTGTGTGTGTGTGTGTGTGTGTGTGTGTGTGTTGTTTAGGGGACAGGTGAGGGTGTCATAGGTGAGATTAAAATAGGTAATGGTATAATAGACGTGAGAGAGAGATATAGAGAGAGATAAAAAGAGAGAGATATAGAGAGAGATAAAGAGAGAGAGAGATATCACTCTTATCTGTGTTATCTTAATACTGTGGGATAAAGATGTCGTTTTTCTTCGTGTCTCCCATTCCCTCACTATCTCCCCCCCCTCCCCCTTTCTCTCTCCCCCTCCCTCTGTCTCACCCCTCCCCTTCCATCACCCCCTCCCCCCCGAGTGACTGCCCAGTACCTGTCTCCCTGATATATTGCCTCGATACCTGGCCACTATACCCACACTTAACCTTACACTTAGCCCTTACACTTGGCCTTTACCCTTACACACTTAACCTTTATTTACACTTAGCCCTAACACTTACACTTAGCCCACACACTTAATCCTTACACTTACACTTAGCCCTGACACTTGCATTTCCACTTGGCCCTTACACTTACATCTCTCTCTCTCTCTCTCTCTCTCTCTCTCTCTCTCTCTCTCTCTCTCTCTCTCAGCTAACACGGACCCTCTTGTCAGTCTCCCTGATAACCATCTTTACCGATTTATCTTCAAACTATTTCACTCTTCTCGCCCCCTCATGTTTTCTCCTCCTTCTCCTCCTCCTCTTCTTCCTCCTTCTCTTCCTCCTCTTCTTCCTCCTTCTCCTCGTTTCTCTTCATTCTCCCCACTTCTCTTCCTTCTCATCTTTCTCTTCATTTTTTTCTTCTCTTCATTTCTTTTCCTCCTCCTCCTTTCTCTTCCTTCTCATTTTTCTCTCCATTTTCTCCTCTTCATTCCTCTTCTTCCTCTTCATCCCTTTCACCTTCCTTCTTCCTCCTCCTCCATCTTTTTTTCTCCTCCTCTTCCTCTCCATTCCTTCTTCATCTCTTTCCCCTCCTCTTTTCCTCTCCTTTTCTTCCTCTTCCTCTCCATTCCTTTCCATTTTCTGCTCAGTTTCCATATTTTTTTTAGTCCTGTAAAAGATGTCTCGCTGATGTCTCTGTGATGTCTCAGTCGTGTCTCGTGTCTCAGTGATGTCTTGGTGATGTCTCAGTGATGTCTCGGTGATGTCTCGGTGATGTCTCAGTGATGTCTCAGTCGTGTCTCAGTGATGTCTCGGTGATGTCTCGTGATGTCTCGGTGATGTCTCAGTGATCTCGGTTGTAGACGTTTCATTTGTCGGTAAAATAAGATAGTCTATATTTCTTTACAGACATGAACCGTGTTATTGTCTTACACTGAAGGTTAGGTTAGGTTAAGTTTGGTATTGTTTTGGTTAGGTTAGGTTAAGTTTGGTATTGTTTTGGTTAGGTTAGGTTAAGTTTGGTATTGTTTTGGTTAGGTTAGGTTAAGTTTGGTATTGTTTTGGTTAGGTTAGGTTAAGTTTGGTATTGTTTTGGTTAGGTTAGGTAGGGTGGGGTTAGGTTAGGTTTGGTTTGTGAGGTTAGGTTAGGAAGTGATATTAATAATCGGGGGCTAACGCTGTTTACTGAAATATCTAGGAATGAAAATAGCCACCAATTGGCCAGTTTTGGTAGGGTGGTACCTGTTGTCGTCCTGTTCCGAGATCTGTAGGAGGCCATTGTCATTACCGTGATATTTTTGCGCCCACTGAGGATTGGTTAACAACATGGCGCTGTGTAGGTGTTGACAGTACTCCATTGACTCGTTTTGTGATGTGATGGCACTGATGATGATGATGATGATGATGATGATGATGGTAATAATAAAAATAATGATAATCATGATAATAATAATAACTCATTTAATTGACCGATAATATCAACATGCAAATTAACCTGATACAAACAGGACAGGTGTAGATGCGTTCCGTTGATCCTTAACGAGGCCTTGAGATGAAGTAAGGCCATATCCCCCTCACCTGTGTGGCCACATCCCTATCACCTGTATGGCCACATCCCCGTTACCTGTATGGCCACATCCCCGTTACCTGTATGGCCACACCCTCCCCCCTGATACGAGACTCAGACCATGTCCACAGCGAAACCTCTCTCTCTCTCTCTCTCTCTCTCTCTCTCTCTCTCTCTCACGGCGTGGTTGGGTGGTGTGGTAGGGGAGTTGAGGCAGGCCGTCAGGCAGGTGGCCCCTCACGCTCCGTCACTAGGTAGCAGGTGATGTGGGGGCCTCCTTCATGATTTACCTGAGTTGCCTGTAGCCATGAGGTGGGGGGCCCAGAGGCTATGGGTCAGGTTAGAGGCCAATTCGGACACACACACACACACACACACACACACACACACACACACACATCTGCAGGTTGTCCCATGCCCTGTGTTGTCTCATCCATGCCTCCTGTTGTGACGTCATCGAGCTCTTGCCGCCTGCTAGTATATCTTCCCACGCCCTCTCTGCTGTAGTTTACCACGCCCATTTCTATCCCCGTGTTTGCTTCTGTCACGTACACGCCTCCTCTCTACACGCCTCCTCATCACATGCACGCCTCCTCTGTCACATGCACGCACCTCCTCCTGTCACTGTACACGCCTCCTCTGTCACGTACACCTCTTCTGTCACATGCTTTCTCTCACCTCCTCTCACGTACACGCATCCTGTCACGTACGCCTCTCCATGCCTCTCTGTCACGTACACGCCTCCTCTGTCACGTACACGCTTTCTCATGCCCCCACTCTTGTTGTTCCTCCCCTCTTCCCCCTACTAACTGTTCCCACCCCCATCATCACCCATGCTTACCCACCTTGTAAACCCACGCCTTTTAGCACGCCCATCCCACAAGCCTACACCTCACGCCCATCCCGCAAACCTACACCTCACGCCCATCCCGCAAACCTACACCTCACACCCATCTCGCAAACCTACACTTCACGCCCATCCCGCAAACCTACACCTCACGCCCATTCCTTTAACCCACACCTCACGCCCACACCTCACGCCCACACATTGCCTCCACGCCCAGCTGACCAGGCACTGATAATAAGCCCAGGTATTAAAGTCTTATTTTATGGGTGAATTTATAAAGACCGTGATGGTATCGTGGGCACATAAAGCCACTCCCCCATGCCCCCATTACCTCCCCCCATCACCATGCCCATCCTTCCTTCACCACCACTATCCCCCATCACCTCCTCCATCCCCTTCATCATCCCCATCACCCCATTCCCTTATTCCCATCATCACCCGAGACCATCATGGTACTTTCCCCCCTCCCCTCCCCAAGGCTCTCTCTCTCTCTCTCTCTCTCTCTCTCTCTCTCTCTCTCTGGAATGAAATGCAAATAAAATTATCGAAATCAAGAAATTATTATTTGGACACACACACACACACACACACACACACACACACACACACACACACACACGAGAGAGGAAAATAAACACTTAGAATGATCCTTTGTTTTGATTGGGCGCCATGGGAGAAAAACTTGATCACTCGTGTTTTAACTCTTGACTCATATTAAGACATTCCCCCCGTCATCAGTGGAGGAAAAATAGTGAAAGTATGTCATGGTCGTGTACAGTCACGAACCAAAATTCCCTTGACACGCCTAAGATTCGAAACTGCAGCGGGAACGAGACACCGAACAGCTTCACTACCCATAGATGGCGAGGTTGTGGTTCATTTGGGGTCTGGTACAGTGTCGACCAGGAGTGTATGTGAACTTTCGATTGTCATTGTTCGTGTTTTCATTTTCCTGCTCCACCTGTGTCAATGAGTTTACCCAGTTTATAGTTTACTAATTATATGTTTACAAGGTTGCTGTGGTTAGTATACAGTTTATTGATTGATTGATTGATACGGTATACAGTTTATTGAATTTTTTTTTTTAGTTTACAATAAACTTCGTGGACCTGGAGGCTACAGTATTGAAATTTGCAGTTGAGGATGTTGTTTTTACTCGAGTCTACAGGATTAATTACAACAGGTAACTGACTGAGGTTACAGATTACAGTAAAGTGGTTATTGACTGTACTCTACCTATTTACAGGTTACAATAAGATGTGTTTTTTAGTCAGGTGTGTGTTTTTAGTCAGGTGTGTGTTTTTAGTCAGGTGTGTGTAGCCATTATCTCTTGTTTTAATGTTATTTTAGAATAGTTAGCTTATTTTTTTCTTTGTATTTTATTATTTTTTATTATAGCTGTATTAGCGTTTTAGTAAATTTAACACCTAATCTAACCTAACCTATCCTAACCCTAACTAACCCTAACCCTAACTAACCTATCCTAATCCTAACTAACGTAACTCTAACTAACCTATCCTGACCTAACCTATCCTAATTCTAACCCTAACTAACCTATCCAAACCCATCCTAACCTTAACTAACTTATCCTAACCCTAACTAACATAACCCTAGCTAACCTAACCTATCCTAACCTAACCTAACCTATCCTAACCCTAACTAACCTAACACCGACTAACTTAACCAAACCCCAAGTAACCTAACACCAACTAACCTAACCTGACCCTAAATAACCATAACTAACATAACCTAACCTAACCTGACCTCAAGTAACCTAACCTAACCTAACCTAACCTTAAGTGCATTGACTCTTCATTTAATACCTATCTTCCATAGAGGGCGCGTGGTGGTGTCTCAAACGATCGATTTTATCCCGTTTTTACGACACATGAGGCAGAGAGAGGGGGGGGGGAGGGGCAGGTAGGTATGGAGGGTGGGGTGGGTAGATGTGTGGAGGGGTGGGGGAGGGCAGGTGTGGAGGGGAGGGGATGACAGGTAGGTGTGGAGTGGAGGGCAGGTAGGTGTGGAGTGGTAGGTGTGGAGTAACGGCAGGTATGGCTTATGGCGGCGTGGTCACCCAGTACAGGAATATCTAAATATCTCGGTCGCAGTACACAAAGGACACCAGTAATCGGGGCTGTTTTCTTGCTCGCGATGAAGGGGGTCACTGTCTTTCCCACGCTGTGTGTTACTCCCTGGGTATACTGTGTGCTGTTACATGTCAGGTGTATATATATATATATATATGTTGTTACATGCTTGGTGTACTGTATGTGCATTTATTAACAAGTCAACCCAGGGTATTTATTTACAAGTCAACTCAAGGCATCTGTTCATAAGTCAACTAAGGGCATTTGTTTATAAGTCAGCCCAGGGTATCTGTCTGCAAGTCAACTCAGGGCATTTATTTACAAATTAACCCAGGACTTTTATTTACACTTCAGTCTTGGGCAACTGTTTACAAGTCGATCATATCACACACAGGTTAGGACAAGATAACGTGGGATTGTGACCCAGTTAGGAGGTGGAGGAAACTAATGGAGATATGGCAACACTGACCCACGTATACAGAACCCATTACCACTGTTGTCTGATAGGGAAGTAGGTGAGAGCATTGTGGTGTGGTGGAGGGAAGGGTTAGTTAGCCAGACTTTGGGATTAGCTGTATGACTGTATACCAGATTGGTTGTGTAACTCACGTGATATAATCCAATGGAACACACACACACACACACACACACACACACACACACACACACACACACACACAAGGGAGTGCCAGTGAGCGTGGCCCCACCTGGCTAACAGTGAGTGAGGCGGGCACCCAGTGTGACAGAGGCAGGCACTCTCATTTGGCACACCCAATGACACGAAACATACCAGGCACCTTCCTCCCCCACCACCCCCGTCTCCTTCTACCACTCCCCCCCCACCACTTACCCCCCTCCTACCATTTACCCCCTCCTACCCCTATCTCCCTCCTATCCCTTACCCCCCTCCTACCCCCGGGTTAGGGGTTGGCTAGCTTAGGTTAGGTCAGGTTAGGCCAGGTCATGTTCAGTCGGTTACATGTAATTAGGTTAGGTTAGGTTAGTGTGGCTTGTCCATTCCAACCAATTCGTGTTGAGTGGACCATTGTACTAGTTAGGTTAGCTTCTCAAAAGCCTCTTCCACGTGTTAATGTTCCTCTACCCACTAACTGATGATGTCAAAACGTCATTAACTGGTTCACTACACAGGGATGTCAGTCATGTTTTACTATAATATTATTCTTGGTCGTGTTGTTGGTGAGATAGAGAGAGAGAGATTGGCATTTTCTCCTTCGACAAATATATATTTTTACTTAACTGAAAATGAAAAAAAAATATAATTGTAACAGTCTCAGTGTAGTTTCGACGCCATTTTGCTCTTCATTTTTTTTTTTTTTTAGTTACACGTGATATCAACATCTTCAGTCAGGAGAGAAAATTAACTTCGGCATTTTTGAAAGTATTTTGAGCCAGCCGTCGAGGGATGGCTGGCGTCAACACACTGCCTCGCCATATGCACTCACACAATCCTGCTCTACACGCAACTAACCTAATCAAAACAATATATTCCTTTTATCGTACTTTATCGTGAATTATTTATTAGCATATTAATCTTCTAGTGAACACAGAAGGCCAGGGAATGTGGAGCGAGCACGAGAAAAACACAAGCGGTGGCTGCTGATACGACCTGCATAGCGGAGAGGTACAAACGTCAATGATTAGAAAGACGTAGTGTAGTATCAAGAGTGTCGGTGATGCCATCTAGCGGCCCGGATAGCACACACACACACATACACACACACACACTCACACACACACACACACACACACACACACACACACACACACACACACACACTCAGGGCTTCAAAGGCGATGGATCCC